ACTTTGGACAGTTGGGTTTGTGGGGTTTGCTGTGACAATATTTAGATGTTTTTATGGTACAACATGACCAACTTGGGATTCTTGACCGTTATTTTATTCATAAGAATAAATCAAAAATACAAATAAAAATTTATATATATATATAGAAATCTATATGTATATCTATATCTATATTCTATATATATATAAAGAGGTTGTTGGAAAAATACATTAATAGAAAGTTTGACCAAATAAATATAATGTTTGACTTACTATTAATGGAAAGTTCAAAAAAATACATGTGAATCTTTATTAACAAAATCTGAATCCTATTTTTTTGGTAACTAATTTGGAGATTCTTATAGCAAAAATTTGAATTCTATTTTTTTCGTATTATATTTTATTTTTTTACTAAAATTTAAATCATATATTTTTTGGTTACAAATTTGGAGATTCTTATGCAAAAAATGTGTCAATTATTTATAAAAACAATTCTAAATATAAATTAACTTAAAAACCGTACAAATTGGATACAAATTTTGGAAACAAATAGTTGTATAATTCTTAACCAATTCTTCTAATCTTATTGAACAATTTTTTCTTTCCAAAAAAAAGTGAGTAAATTGGATAAAACCACGTGCAATTTTTATTTTAGAATAAAACTGATATTTGGACAGGATGTACATTCAAAATTGTGTCCACATTTTCTAGTAACAAAAGCTGTTCATCTTTGATATATAAAAATTAAAAAAAAAATTAAAATATCCTTAAATATTTAACTTATTTGAGATCAAGATTTGTTAGGTCTTTTTAAGATTAGTTATGATTTAAAAGAAAAAAAATAATATAAAATTTCACTCTAAATCTCACATTCACACTTAAGATTTCATAGTATTCCTCTAAAATTTGACCATCTTAAAAGTCTCAAATCTTAAAAAATCTTAAAGTGACACTTAAAATTCTAAACGAATACATATTATACATATTATTTAATATTATTTACCCGTGCATCGCACGGGCCACATACTAGTGTGCTAGAATGAAGCACAATGAAAAAAATAAGAATGATTTTGAACCATTAGATCCATCACATCACTGGTAATGATCGAGTCAAACTTTAATAACTGGTAGTCACACATGTGTGGCAATGTTGTAAATAAATGTACAGATTCAGGTCAAATATTTACCTTTGACCATTAAGTAAGGATAAAATGGACATTACACAACATTACAACTCATTCAGTGGGTCCCACCCCCAATCCATTCTATCTCTCTCACGTACAAACACACACTCACACCCCACAGTCACCATGAACACACACACGCCTGTTGCAGCGTCAGCCAGCCACGAGCCGCGGCCCGCCACCGCCGCCGCCGTCACCACAAACACATTCAATTCACTCGCAGCATCTGTCGAGACCAGAACCTCTGTCAGCCCACCACCAACCTCTCCGTCAACTGACCACCAACATCGTCGTCAAATTATCACAAATCCCGCAACCACTCCTCCATCCTCAGTCGTTCGTCACGCTTCCACCGTCACTCAAATCAACCATATCATTATCTCCCCCGTCGTCTCTACAGATTTGAAGCAAATTTCCAATCGGTCGGTGTCGAGAACTTCAGGGCCGTGGCCACGGCCCAAAAACACCGATTTGGTCCTGACCCGACGACGGCGACCTGCACGGAGGAGGAGGGACGGGCGGATTTTTTTCTGTTTTTTTTTTGGGCTGGGAGATTGATTTAATTTTGAGAAATCGTACTGAGGGCTTAAACTTATTTGGGGCTTGTTGATATCCGGATCGGGCCTCCATGGAAGTAACGGTCTGAGAGACCGGAAACCGGGCGAGGCCAGTTACCATATCAATTAACAGGTGCCGAGCTGAGTATGAGTCAAAATCATTTGGAGCGGCGGACGACGTCGTATCCCGAGGTCGGCACCTCGGTGCTCCCGTTAAGGAGCCGACCAGACCGGATATGGGGTCTGAAAAACCGGAGGACGGGCAGAGATGTCACAGCCCGGCTCGAGATCCTACCAGCCCGACCCTCGTAGGGGTTAAGGATCCAGGAAACAATTGAATAAGGCCACTTGTCAACCAATGATTGCCGATGGGACGTCCTAGACTAGCCTGCAGGTCTAGGACGCCTAGCCCGGCTGAGGGACATGTCCGCATTAAATGCAACCCATACCAGCATTAAATGCGTTGCAGGTAATGATTAGAAGATCCCTAAATGACTCTCAATCAGTCAGAGGAACGCCGGCCTGTCTAGCCAAGTTACTGTACGACAAGACCCACAAACAGTACCGGAACAGTATCACATTTAAGAGCCCTATAAATAGAAGTCCCAAGCATTTATTTTGGGTTGTTGAATACCAATTGCCTTAACCCTTTACATATTTTCTCTCTCTAGACTTGTAAGGAATTTGTGTAAGAATTTATAAGTACATCGAAAGTGCCGACCTCGTAAGAGAGGCCGACCTCGTGATCAGTTAATAAAATCGTAATTAAACCGTATTCCTTTGTCTTTTCTCGTTACTTTTTCACTATTAATCTTTTTTAACCATTGACCGGAAACGTCCGTCAACAGGGCTCTTTTATGAAAATTGGATAAAGGGTACGGACTAATTTGCAATTAAAAGAACTTTAATTATAATATCTATGGAAAATGTTAAGGTTTCGTTGGCCGTTTCCAGGGTATCATTCTCTCAATTTTATATCCAATAGAATTTTGCCACTTCACCTTTATCCATGGAGGCTCATGTATACTATAATTACTTAATAGTGGTAGTTATTTTCTGCAAGAGACAAAAATTAAAAGATAAATAAATAAAAATAGACTTGTAAAGTAAGATAAATTAATTAAAATTGTCGAGTAAGTATTCTAAATCAATTTGAAGTAAGTATCTTCATTATTTATATTATAATTATTTTATATCTATCATCAAATTTTAATAAAAAAAGGCTAATACTAATTGTCAAACTAAAGTAAAACGTGAATTTGTACCAAAAAAAAAAAGTAAAACGTGAATAATTTTTTTGATAAATGATAATCAAACTAGAAATGCTATTGATTAGTAATAAAATATTATTGATTAGAATAAATTAAAGCAAAGGAATATTGATTAGAGATAAAATATATTGAATATTAATAGTAATTTTTATCATTTATTTTTTTATAGTATATAATAGTTTAATATATAATTTCTTTTTTTAATTCACCCATCATAAATATTCCAGAATAGATCACAACCACTTCTAAGTTAGTTTATCCCACAAAACTTATAATTTGAGAGAATGGATGCATGGTTGTTAAATAAATAAATAGTTCCAATTCATGGAAGAGACACATTTAGTAGTCTAAAATAAATACTCAAAGGTGAAATGGATGAAAAGTGATGGAGAAAATTTCTTATATATAAATGATTAGAAGTCTAAGGAACTTGTACTATGTTTGATAAAATATTTATTGTTGGTATATATGTTAAGCAAATATAAAAATAATTTCTATATGATTGATTAAATGGTGTAAAGAAATTTCTTAAGTATTTACAAGTAGAGGTGGCCATTTAGCTGGCTGGGCTGGGCAGGGCCCGGCGAAACACAGGCCCAAAATCGGCTCGGATGTAGGTGCGTGCCGGTTCCCAGGCCCGACGGTTCCGGGCCTGTTTACCGACCCGACGGTTTGGGATCAGACGAGTTCACAGGGAAAAAAAAATTGAATGTTGGCCTGTCTTTCTGCTCGGACTCGGCGGTTGAAGAAAACAAAATTAAGACCTGGAACCGGTCCTTTTGTTGCACGGGTCTGGTTCAATGATCCGTGCACACGGGCCGGTTGCGAGCCGAGTCCAGGCCAGTTCCGGGCCGACTCGACGGTCCGGGCTGACATTGGCTACCTCTATTTACGAGGCATTAAAGAACTCATGCTAAGTTAAAGGAGGTCCAAATTTATCATAGCGCTTGAATAATGTCAACATCTTGTTCAACTGCTAAGAAACTGTACTTATGTAGCTGTAATAATGTTTTAAGGAACAACAAGTATCTATATATATAGAAAAAAGTTTGATTATTTTTAAAATAGTAACTGCTTATTGTCAAAAAAAAATTATTTACTATATCGGGAAATTAATATAGTAATTTATGGTATGAAGTGGGTGTAATATTTTTGGTAAGAAATTTTATTGATATATTCAATTTTTGGTCTGAAAATCTTCAAAATGCATTTGGAAGTGTTTCTAAGCATAAAAT